TGTGTGTGACCTTTCATCTGCGCTACCTCCGGGGATTGGCAAGAGAAAATTTTCAAACAGCTTCAGGGAGAACCTTGAGTTTTCCCTGATGCAATTTATTCTTTTCTCTGAGGATGAGGGTCCTCAAGACAGTTCTAGACGTGGTACCTCCCTATATAAATAATATATATATATATATATATATATATATATATATATATATATATATATTATATGTCGTGCCAAATAGGTAAAATTGGTAAAGCAGTGACAACTCGTCTAAAATTTAATCCTTTCCAAAAAATTTTCTTATACGTTTAAAAATATTTTAATTTATGTTAATGTAAAAAAATAATGATTTTATACCAAAAGAACCTTAGAAAACTTACCTAACCCTATAACAAGCGCAGTTTAATTCAGCTTAATCCAAATAAATATATTTTAGATAAATTTACAATAATTTAATAATAAGGAAACAGAAAGAAATATATTTTTCCGCTATGTTCAGAATGACTTTTGGGAAATTATTGCATACAAAAATTTTCGTTTGCCTTATTCGGCAAGTAGAGCGTTGCTATTTAAGCCAAAATCGTAAGTTTACATAATTACTAGCAATAGTAATTATGAAAGAAAATGATTACCATGAAAAAATGAATAATCTCTTAGATGATACTGAAACCTATTCTAAACTTAGAAAGAATCCCTTAGAAACCGTTAGCAGCAATTTCAATAAAACAATAAAACTTCTACTAAAAGGCAAAGATGAATTAATTAAACAATTTACTTCCACTAATCCATCTTTACCTTACATGTATGGACTAATAAAAACACACAAACCAGGTAATTCAATCAGACCAATTATTAGCTATTTAGGATCAGTATAAATTATCCAAATGGCTTGTTGACGTTTTGAGCCCTATTGTTGGCAAAATTTCTAACTTCAATGTTAAAAACAACTTAGATTTAGTTGATAAATTAAGCTCCTTGACTGACTTAAATGATTTTAACATGGTTAGTTTTGATGTTACTTCCTTGTTTACGAAAGTTCCTGTTGATGATTTATTAAGTTCCTTATCTGAAGAACTCGTTAATTATAATTTACCATTACCAGTTCCTACTATCATTAAACTTATTAAACTTTGCATTGTTGATGCAAAATTTGTATTTAATGATAAGTTTTACACTCAGAAATTTGTTATGGCAATGGGAAATCCTCTTTCACCTGTTCTTAGTAATCTATACATGGGATTTTTTTAAACAAGATTGCTTAACACAATCCTCCTTAATAGAGCTAAATGGTTCAGATATGTTGATGATTATTTTATGTCTTATGCCCAAGAATGTAGATATACACCATTTCCTTGGCAAATTAAATAGCTTAGCCCATTCTATAAACTTTACTGTTGAGTTTAAGGAAAATACCTCATTGCCTTTTCTAGATGTTTTAATTATTAAGAGTAATAATAAATTCAAATTTAAAATTTACAGAAAACCTACAAATAACTGTTCCTATGTACGCTATTATTCTTCCCATCAAGATAAAGTTAAACTGTCTGTTTTCTCATCAATGTTTTTGAAACCTTGACGTATTTGTAGTCCAGAGTTCATAGATGAAGAAATATCCAAAATTTATGAAATAGCCAATGATCTGAAATACCCGAGAAATGTAATTGATAAATCATTTAAAATTCCTAGAAATACTTTTTACAACCCAAAAAGGGACAACCAATCTTATTCAACTAAAAATATGTTGGTTCTCCCTTACCATGAAAACTTGGTTGATATACCTTCTCTTCTTAAGACTTTTATTATTAAAGTTGTATTTAAAAATCTTGATACAGTAAAAAAACTTTTGATAAAGAATTCCCCCCAAAATGCTGACGGATGTGTCTATAAGATTCCTTGTAAAATTTGCGATAAAGTTTATTACGGTCAAACTATCAGATAGTTCCTGACTATGGAACTGAACTTCTCCAGGCCGAGGGACTGACAACCTCAAATTCTACGACTTTAAGGGTGATGGACTGATTACATCGTCTTCACATCTGTACTGTTCCTGCCTACTTTCTGTATTCGACTGAAGAAGCCTACTGTGTAGGCGAAACGTTTCGGAATAAAGTTGTCTAACTGTTGCATATGTGTCTTACCTAACAACATAAATATAGCATTAGAACTGGACAAGATTCCAATGCTCTATTTATTCATGTAAGAGATTTTAACCATCCAATTGATTTTCAAAAAGTTGAGAAAGTTGTATCAAGCAAGACCATGGTCGACAAAAATATAATTGAATCTTGTTTCATAAAAAACAGTTTTGAAAATAACGTGAATATTTCCTTAGGTTTATATAAATTAGATTCATTTATAATTAATAAAATTTGGTTAGAGTTTAATAATACATTGGACAAATAATAAACCTTATTTCTTGGGTAGAATAATTTGTTAGTGGGATGTCGTGAGGACCTGTCTAGTTGGACCAGCGGACCTACTGCAGTGTTCCTCTTTTCTTATGAATCCGGTATTGTCCCGCGTCAGGTGTTTCTTTGTTGTGGGAGTTGACTGTGAGGTGTGGTCTAAGCCCTTTAATTGCCTTCCTTTGATGTATTACTTTCATAGTTCCTTGACAATGTGGGTAGTCACGAATGCGCTTGGAATTTCACTACTCTTTCACAGCGGTTGTTTTGCATATTTTAAAATCACCTGTTTACTGTGATCTTATTGCATATATATTATATATATATATATATATATATATATATATATATATATATATATATATATATATATATATATATATATATATATATTATATCGTTGCCTAATAGGTAAAAACTGATCAGTTAGTAAGAACTCATTTAAAATTAAGTCCTTTCAAAAAATTTCTCTGATACGTTGAAAGATATATTTTTTCATTAATATTAATGTAACAAAATTTAATTTTGCACCAAAAGTATCTTAGAAAATTTACCTAACCTTTTTATAACAAGCGCAATTTATTTTAACCTAATCCTACTAAATATATTTTAAATATTTTTACAGTAATTTAATACTAAACAAGCACAATGAAATATATTTTTTTCGTTAGGCACCCTTACAGTACAGTTATCAAGCAGCAACATCAGCACCCTTCATTCAGAGTGCAGCACTGTACTTCCTATCTCCAGGACTTACGTCCGGTCTGCCGGTTTCCCTGAATCCCTTCATAAATGTTACCATGCTGACACTCCAATAGAATGTCAAGTCCTAAAAACCATTTGTCTCCATTCGCTCCTATCAAACATGCTCACTCGTGTTTGCTGAAAGTCCAAGCCCCTTGCACACAAAACCTCCTGTACCCCAACGCTCCAACCTTTCCTAGGCCGACCCCTACCCCGCCTTCCCTCCACTACAGATTTATACACTCTCGAAATCATTCTCTTTTGTTCCACCCTCTCTACATGTTCGAACCACCTCAACAACCCCTCCTCAACCTTTTGGATGATAGTTTTGGTAATCCCGCACCTCCTTCTATTTTCCAAACTTTGAATTCTCCGCATTATATTCACACGACACATTGTCTTCAGACACGACATAACTTTTGCCTCCAGACTTCTCCTTGCTGTAACAGTCACCACCTATTCTTCACACCCACACAAGAGCGCTGGTATAACTATACATTCAAACATTCCTCTCTTTTCTTCCATGGACAAAGTTCTTTTACTCCACAGACTCCACAGTTCACCACTCACGGTATTTGCCTTGTCAGTTCTACGATTCACCTCATCTTTCAAAGACTCATCTACTAACACATCCACTCCTAAATAACTGAATGCATTCACCTCCTCCATATTCTTTCCCTCGAATCTGATATCCCATCTTTCGTTACCTATTTTTTTTGTTATCCTCATCACCTTATTCTTTCCTATATTCAATTTTAATTTTTTTATACATATCCTACCAAACTCATCCACCAACCTCTGCAACTTCAAAAGCACAGTATAATCAGGAAAGAGCAACTGTCACAACTCCCACATTGAGTTAGATTCATTATATTTTCACCTCACACCTCTTGCCAACACTCAAGCCTTCACTTCTTTTACAACTCCGTCTATAAATATATTGAACAACCACGGTGACATCACACATCCTTGTCTTAGTGCTAATTTTACTGGGAAATAATCTCCCTCTCTACTACACATTCTAACCTCAGCCTCACTATCCTCGTAAAAACTCTTCACTACATTCAGTAACTTACCTCCTATTCCATACACTTGCATTATCTACCACATTGCCTCCCTATCCACCTGGTCTAAATTAAAGTTTATCTGTTCAGCACAAATAGGTAAAATTGGCCAATTAGCAAGAACTCATTTAAAATTAAGTCCTTTCTAAAATTTTCTCTTATGCCTTTAAAGATATATTTTTTTCATATATGTTAATGTAAAAATTATTAATTTTGTACCAAAAGAACCTTAGAAAACTAACCTAAACTTATTTTAACAAGCGCAATTTAATTTAGCCTAATCTATAATTTTACAATAATTAAATAATAAACATGATGAAATATTATTTTTCGTTACGTTCAGAATGATTTTTGCGAAATTATTGCATACACAAATTTTCGCTTGGGTAACACTTGCAATTTTGCCTTAAATAGCAACATTCTTCATGCCGAATAAGGCAAGCGAAAACTTGTGTATGAAATAATTTTGTAAAAATCATTGTGAACCTAACGAAAAAAATATATATTTCGTTGTGTTTTTTATTGTTAAATTTTTGTAAACTTATCTAATATATATTTTGCTGGATTTGGTTAAATTGCGCTTTTTATAATAAGGTTAGGTAAGTTTTCTAAGGTTCTTTTGGTACAAAATTATTATCTATAAACGTATAAGAGAAAATTTTAGAAAGGACTTAATTGTAAATGAGTTATTGCTAATTGACCAATTTTACCTATTCGGCACGACATATATATCATCTTTGTGCCATTTATCCTTTTTTTCTTTAACTTTATTTAGCATATTTTTTATATGGTAATTGACCTTTCTACTCTGTTTTATCTCCCTCTTTCTTTCTCTCCTTTAATATTTTCCTAGCCTCTCTATTATTCACAATTAGTTTAACCTTTACTGCTACGTACTGTTCACTTTTTGTTAATTAAGTATTATCAGCTCTTTTATTATATATTTTCTCCTTCCCTCTGTAAGTTTTCCTCTCCAACAAAATCATCATTCCCTCTCTCTCTCTCTCTCACTGGTGGAGGGTAGACAGTTGTGGGAAGCGGCAGGGCAGGTGGGCCACGTCTCCTTCATTAACATTGACATCAACAACACTGTTGTTCTCCAGGTTGAGTTCTGGCAGCACGTGTCTGATGTCCCACACTGGGTCCTCTGTCACAGGCGCTCCTGCAACATCCAAACCTCTCTTAATATTATTATTATTTTTAATTATTATTATTATTATTTAAATATTATTATTATTATTATTATTATTATTATTATTATTATTATTATTATTATTATTGTTATTATTATTATTATTATTATTATTATTATTATTATTATTATTATTATTATTATTATTATTATTATTACGTATTATTATTATAATTGTTATCTTTATTATTAGCGATAATAATAATATTATTATTATTTTTATTATTATAAACAAGTGATCAATTAATAAACTGTTTGTTGCAGTTTATTACTTATAATACCAAAGCTGCAAAAATTCTTAACTGTCTTACATACTCCAGAAGACGAAGGTAAAAAAAAAAATCTCTCAAAAACCATTATCAAGTCTGGGTTTGAGACTGGTCCAAGCTGGAGCACATTTAAATTTAGGTTGTTAGCTTCTTCTATGAAGGATAAGAGTAAAAGGGAAGACATATTGAGCTCAGTGTTTTAAAGGAGTCTTGTTTTACTTGGGCGTGGTGAGGGAACTCAAGCTGCTGGAATAAACTCTGCTGAGAATTAATGTACACAATCTTCTTGCAGCTTGTGAGTGGATTACAGCACAGAGCAACATAAACCATTTATATTAATGAATGTTTGCACACACATACCGAACATCTTTATTTAAAGATCTTTCTTCAAACAGTGGTTTTATCGATTCAATACAGAGGTAGCAATTTGAAGTGATGAAACTGAAGGCTCTAGAAAATGAGATAATCAGTCCCACAGCCTTAAGTCAGTGTTGTTAGTACCTTAGTCTTAAGGACACTTAATCTCAAACGTCCCTGATCATGTCACTGTCTCTAAGCTGATCTCATTGTCTATCTATTCATCTCTCTGTTTCTGTGATCATCTCACTGTTCTCTGCTCGTGTCTCTGTCTCTGCTTAGCTCACTATCTCTTTGATAATCTCACTGTCTCCCTACTCACTTCGTTTGCTGTTCATATCACTGTCTCCCTTCTCATTTCACTGTCTCCCTACTCCGTTTTCTGTTCATATCACTGTCTCCCTTCTCATCTCATTGTTTTTCTGTTCATTTCATTTTGTCTCTGCTCATTTCACCGTCTCCCTGCACATGTCATTGTCTTCCTGCTCATGTTACTATGCCTATTCATATCACTGTCTCCATGCTTATTATACTATCTCTCTGTTCGTCTCACTGTCTCCCTGCTTATGTCACTGTCACCCTATTCATGTCACTGTACCCATGCACATGTATGTTCCTCATGTTACAGTCTCTCTATTCATGTCTCTGTCTCCATACTCATGTCACTTTCACCCTAATCATATCGCTCTCACTCTACTCGTGTTACTGTCTCCCTGATCACCTCACTGTCTCTCTTCTCATCTCTCTGTCGATTTCGATGATCCGAAAAAAAGACCAGTTTCCCACTGAAATCCAGCCTTCCTGGTTGACCTTGTAAAATTCTACGGACATCGTTTACAAACTTCAGTATTTTTTAGTATTTTTTAGTATTTTTTTCTCAGGCACTTGGGACAGCCGGTCATTAATTCAGGCAGAGCGCTTGTCTTTCCTGTTTTTTGTCCTCCAAGGTTTCAGTATTATAATGAGAAAGACTCTTGTAACTTGCTTTAGACTTTGATAGTTGGTATATTTTAGTTAGAGGAAGATTTTGAATGATACCGGAAAGTGGGAGCTAATTTCAAAATTGTATTAGTGAAAATTGGGCAGATGTATAAGTGGGATGATTTCAGGACACCTCCTCTGATCCTCATCGGACTTTCAACAAAGACGTTGACTACTTTGATTTTTATTAAAAAAAAAAAGCTAGCAGTGTATCTCTTCTGCAAGATAACTTGAGAATGACTCTTTAGATGGGCTTCATGCATTGAAAACTGAGCTGTCTAATTTAATGGACTGAAAATTTCAATATTAAGCCTTGTTAGAAATGTTGAAAATTTATACCTGCTTAGTTCAACAATTAATATTATTGGTTACCATCTTATACCTGGGCAATGTTTTTTCCAGTTTGACTTCAAACTTAAAGTACAGATACATTTTGCTAGGACAAGAGTTAACAGATTATGCCACCGAAGTGGCAAGTTTATTGTGGTTCCCATATCCATCCTGTGGACGGTAGTGCAAGAGCATATACATACACAAAAGGCCTTTGAACTAGGCACCAAAACGGTTAACAAGAGTATATCTACATTTATATCTACAGTTCACTCATCTGTTACAAGCCAATTTAGGAAATTTGCTTAATATAAGTGGTATTTTATTTTCATTAATAAGATATCTTGACATGTCACAAAGGTTATAATACTGAAATTTCTATATATCTTAATACATGGACAAATAAGCACATAGTGTTCAAGATAGTGACCAAGGTTTATATAAGTCTTATTTTCCCGATTAAATAAAAAAATAAGAAATTGGTTCACTGTGCAATGGAGATTGCTTTTCTTGATTGATATTTGTCTGTTACGTTATAAGAGAGATGGGAAGAATGGAGAGGAAAAGGACTCTGGTAGGGTAGAGCAGTGAAAAAAAGACTAGAGAGAGACAGTAAGATATCAAAAATGTTAAATATCCTGTCAACTTTGGGAGAGTTATAAGAGAAATATTTTTTGTCACACCCTTACAGCTGTAAGGGTGTAAATTTTGATGAGCAAATTGGGATACTGGTTTCTGTGCAATAAGTTACGAATGCCTATAGTGAACTGGCTTCAAACCTTCCACAATGATTGTCTTAAAAAGATGCGGTACTACTTTGACCGACAATAATTAATCACACGTCAGTCCATCAAGCTCACTTCCGTCCCATCCATCTCAAATCCAAACAATTCTTCCTTACGACAAGGCTGTTTACTTACCAGGGTGTGGGCTGGTTGAATATTCTGAGCCAGCTGTCTAGAACGGCTCTAACTGTTGCTTGGACTCACAATATAAGCCGAGAGGTTTACCCGTGCAATACAGATTTACGCAAATCCTAACACCTAGGGGTACACTGACAGCCTACCTGCTGTGGAGTTTGGCGGAGTTGTTCTTGGTCTCGAAGCCTTCCAGATATCTATTCCATCTGAACTTCATTAATGAGTAACTAATACTCGCACAGGAGGTTTAATGCCAGATTTCTTACGTTCTCTTCACTCTCGAAAACCCGGTTAATTAGACGGCTTCCATTTTGATACTGCCGGTTACAAGCCTCCTAGAGCGCAAGCCAACTATGGTGTAAGTTAGTAAGTATATGGAGAACGACATTGTCGTTATTAAGCTACTTACACTTGTATTCTTAACCTAACTTAACTCTGTAAGCTACAATATTAGACTAGGTTCTAGCTTAAGGCAAATTATCGTTACAATTGAGGTTTAGAGCAGAGGCCTGGCAACGTCGAAATACGTTACCAGCCATCTTCCTCTCTCAGCCCCTTCTCTCACACGGAAAGCTCAGGTATTTCCACAATGATAACTGTCTGCATTAAAAGCTAATGCTGCAGTCTGATGTACCAGGGATGGGATTCTTGGATTCATACGATATTTCTGAAGTATCGTGAAACGACCAAGTTACTTCTGGATATTATTTTTTCCCAAACGGAGGTGTTAAACTCTTAAGGGTAGTTATACAGCACCAAAGATTTCGTTAAATGGAGAGTAAACTCTAGCTCCTTGAATCAAGAGCCCTTCAATTGCGTCAAGACACCCTGACTGATGTGACATTGTTCTCTAGGAACATCGGGAGATGTTCAAAGTAAATTTGAAAAGCTGAATTCACCTTTACGAAAATGTTGACCATCCTGGTTATGTTCAGAGGCTGGATGGAATGTTGACTTGCAGACACAAACAAGAACATCCTGGTTATGTTCAGAGGCTGGATGGAATGTTGACTTGCAGACACAAACAAGAACATCCTGGTTATGTTCAGAGGCTGGATGGAATGTTGACTTGCAGACACAAACAAGAACATCCTGGTTATGTTCAGAGGCTGGATGGAATGTTGACTTGCAGACACAAACAAGAACATCCTGGTTATGTTCAGAGGCTGGATGGAATGTTGACTTGCAGACACAAACAAGAACATCCTGGTTATGTTCAGAGGCTGGATGGAATGTTGACTTGCAGACACAAACAAGAACATCCTGGTTATGTTCAGAGGCTGGATGGAATGTTGACTTGCAGACACAAACAAGAACATCCTGGTTATGTTCAGAGGCTGGATGGAATGTTGACTTGCAGACACAAACAAGAACATCCTGGTTATGTTCAGAGGCTGGATGGAATGTTCGACTTGCAGACACAAACAAGAACATCTGGTTATGTTCAGAGGCTGGATGGAATGTGACTTGCAGACACAAACAAGAACATCCTGGTTATGTTCAGAGGCTGGATGGAATGTTGACTTGCAGACACAAACAAGAACATCCTGGTTATGTTCAGACGCTGGATGGAATGTTGACTTGCAGACACAAACAAGAATTGCAGAATTATCTTATTTCTGAACACAGTTTGCCTCTACGTACAACTTTGACTAGTCGTGACTTGATCAATATAAAAAAAAAATTTCTATACAACAAAAAAATCTTAAAGTGGATAAATGATTTCGTTGCATTGCTCTCCGTCTTCCTTCACCTGTTTGACAGCTGTTCATTACCCTCAGTCTTCCTTCACCTGTTTGACAGCTGTTCATTACCCTCAGTCTTCCTTCACCTGTTTGACAGCTGTTCATTACCCTCAGTCTTCCTTCACCTGTTTGACAGCTGTTCATTACCCTCACTCTTCTTCACCTGTTTGACAGCTGTTCGTTGCCCTCAGTCTTCCTTCACCTGTTTGACAGCTGTTCATTACCCTCAGTCTTTCTTCACCTGTTTGACAGCTGTTCATTACCCTCAGTCTTCCTTCAACAGTTTGACAGCTGTTCATTACCCTCAGTCTTCCTTCACCTGTTTGACAGCTGTTCACTACTCTCAGTCTTCCTTCGCCTGTTTGACA